ATACTATATTATATATTATAATTATAATATGTTATATTATATTATATTATATTATATTATATTATTACATTTTATATTTATATTATATTTCTAATAATATAATATAGTATAGTTGTAACATTATAATATAAAATAATCACAATATTATTATTTTATTATATTATATATTATGATTGTATTATAATAAATAATTATATAACGATAATTATAATTATATATATTATATCCTTATAATTTTTTATATATAATATTAGTTATTAAATGATTATATTAATATATATGATATTAGTTATATTAACATGAGGGGTAATTTTGTCAAAATAAAAATATTCATATCTCATTTTATTGTATTTGTAAAAGTAGAATAAAATAAATGAATCATCTTTCATTTCCATTCTATTCCATTACCATTCCTATTACCATTGCCTACATGGGGTAATTTATGGGTGTGTTTGGAACTTATTTTAAAATAATTTTATTTTTGTATGCAAATAGAAATAAAAATATTTTTAATCTCATAAATAAATTATTTTTAAAAATGCTTTTGGTAGTTTTATCAAGACATTGTTTTCAGTATAAAAAATTCATTAATGTCTCTCTCTACTCGAGAAAACGAAAATAAAAAAATAAAAAACGACTAAAAGTCATTTTTCATTTCTCTCTCATTTCACACTAAACCAAAAAAAAAAAAATTCATTTCCGTTTTGTCTTTAATTGTGCCAAACGCCATTCCTCTCCCGTTTTCATTTTTTATTTCTCAAAAAACGTGAAAAATAAAAATAAAAACAACTCCAAACACAGCCTATAGATTTTATTCCCATGTCTAAAATTTTGGTTTCTTTTACCGTATTTAAGAATACAAATATCGATATTTATGAGTATTTAAAATTTAAGGAAATATTGACAGAAATGTCATTACGGTAGAAATTGATGTAAAAATGAAAATTCATATTAAAATATTCTATTTTTAAATGAGACTTTTAATAAATTTTAAAATAAAGAAGGATAAAATTATTTTGATACTATGTGTTATAGCGAAACATGTTTTTAGTATCTTGCATTTCTAATAATATTAAAGTGTACCTTGACGTTTAAAAAAAATCTTTTTGATACCTTAAAATTGATTGTGAGATGTTAATGACCTTAGTACCATTTTATTTATTTAATTAAAAATTAATAGATTTAAGAAAAAAATCATGAAGTTTTTTATCTTGTTATTTTCTTTTAATTATTTTAATGTTTTAAAATTTTTTTTTGATTTTTTATTTATAAGAGTGATACGTTAAACATTAGATATTTTAAAAATTAGCTTCAGAGTAAGTAGAAAGATACTTTTAAAACATCAAGGTACCATATTAATATTATAAAAAATAAATGGTAGTAAGTATTGGTTTTTGAAACGTTTTCGAGTGTCGAAACGTGGTAGTGCGGATCATATATAACAAAAAATTTTCACAAAACCTTTTATATACGCTATAGATTATATTAATTTATGCAATAATAAATTAATCTTATTAATTTATGATAATAAATACCTTACTGACGATTAGGACGATAACTTGAAATTCTTTGGCCAACGAACGATCCTCACTCCAAAGCTTTCTTAGAACACCTAAGTCTTCCTCATTTACTCCTTGATATCACAAGACGATGAGTGTGGGCTCAAGGTATAAACAATCAGAACGATCACTCGCTAATTTGTATTATTTCAATGTCAATGCATGTATGTGAAAGAATTGAGAAAATTGAAAGAACCTTTTTTCGCTTTTTCTCTCTTAGAGAATTTGGCCAACCTAGGGAATTTAGGAGATCAAATTTTTTTTCTCCAATTCCTATTGTCTCCTATTTATAGACAATTAGGAGAACCGTTTTGCTTGCAAGCAAAGAAAATAGGAAATTAGTAACTATTATATTTTTAATCTCATTAAAAATACAGTTTTCCTTTTACTTTTGGAAACAAAATTTCCTTTCCTTTTGCTATAGGGTGGCCGGCCATTTCTTAAGAAGGAAGGAAAAAATCCCTTCCTAAACCATTTTTTAATTTTAGCTTAAATTTAATTTCAAATAAAGTAACATCTTACTTTCCTTTTTGAATTTAATTGGAAAACTTCTCGAATAAGTAAACCAGATTATTTGGAGAGCAAACAACTAAATCCCAGTGAGATTTTTCTCAGTGTTACACACCCCGTGTGGTCCCACCACAGTGTGTGACAAAATAATTAAGTAATCACATTATTTAATATACAATTAATTCTTAATTAATTATTCATAAATGAAATAAAATCTTGATAATCCATCTTGTCTTGCAAATAATACAAGGATGACGGGGGGACTCATGGACCTATAATTCTAAGCTCCAATAAAATTAATAATTAATTAAACTCTTTAATTAATTAATTAATTCTATTAATTTCAAAAGTTACTCTACTAAAAACTTGGAATTGCACTCTCAAAATTATAGACATAATTTACTTCTAAGAACTTGAAATGTTTATTTGATATAGTCACTACATATAGATCGATCATCCATAAATAATTCATAATTAAAGTTAAGTAAAATCTGTTAACATCTCTAATTACATCTTTATCCTTGAGTACCATTGATTCTTTAATGAATAGTATATTCATAAAACACATTCATGAATAGGAGCTCATTACTTATTCAAGTACCAAATCAACTTTTAAGAGAATTATTTATCTGCTTCTTCAAAGAAGAATGAATAGATTCCACCTTGTATATTAGCATTCTCGGCTACCTATTTCATCATGTTCCTAAGATACAAAGAATATGATTTAGGATCTCAAAATTCGTACCGAGTAAATCAAAGAATACGAATCGACAAATAGGAGTCTACTAACAACTCAAGATTAATACCATTATATATATGACTATCGGCATACTCAAATTTAATTTTCTATATTTAACGAAAATTATCAGAAAATCAAATTGTATCAGTGTCCAAGTTATGCATAATCTCATTATGCATAATACACTCATTCAATATCCCTCTATATTAATGATGGGATAACACCATTCCATTCTTAATGAGAATGACATGTATTAGTAATGTTTTAATTAAAAATTCTGAAACTTTAATTAAATTCATTACGAACATCGTTTTGATTATTATCCTTAAATATTATCCTCTCGTATATAACACTTATATACAATATTTAAGGTTACATAAATAATCGTGAAATTTTCTATGATATTCATAAGGTATTCAATAATATATACACATAAATAATGAATAAATTATTTTATTAATCAAATAATAAAATATTCTTATTACATCTCATGCTTTAAAGACATTTTTCCTAACAATAAGAACATGTTTCGCTATAGTACATAGTACCAAAATGATTTTATCCCTTAAAAATATATGTAGAACATACAATTTCTGGGGGAAGTTGTCAAAATTCAAAAGTTGGGGGCAAAAGTGGTGAACCACGATTTCAACGTGTCATTCGACAATGAAAGTCCGCGGAGACGACCTTAGAAAGGGTGCAAAAGATGTCCTCTTTTCTTTGTTATTATGTGTCATTCTACGTCCTAACATTTTATTGGACAAACGACAGGACTTTTGTTATGAATTTGGTCCTATGAGAAATGGAGGCGATGTTGTTTGAAATCGTGCGTGGTTTAATTTAGATGCCTGATTCTAAATGTGTTATAGGTGGGGTTTAGTTTCTCTCATATTCTTCTTTATTCTTTTATTTTTTTTATTTTTTTCTCTCAAAGAGTTATTTTGTCACTCAGTCTGTTAATTGGTCGTTTTGTTGGTTTATTTGAAGGGAGGACAACAGAAAAAGAAAAAGAAATATGGTTGACTTTTTTGGATTGTAGATTTGCCTTTTGGAGATCCAAGTTAAGTACTTTACCCTTTTTGAGACCATTGAAGTCGTTGAAAAAACAAAAAGACTAGCTTTCTCAATTGTGGTCAAAACAACATTTTTTTTTTTTTGAAAAGTGGTCGAAACAACATTAAGGAAAGGAAAAGATGAATTTCCAGCAGAAAACAACAATGCTTACATGCATTATACAAATGGCCAACTAGCAACAAAGAAATTGTTGAACGACTAAATTTCACCCCCAAAAAAAAAAATTCACATAATAAGAACAGGAAATGATTTTTGAAGTCCAGGAGAAACCAATGAAATTTTAGAATTCGACTTTCGGGTATCTTGGAAGTAGAGGCAATGATCTCATATAGCAATTTTCTACTCCTACTCGTCCTCTTCTCTGTGCTGAATGACAGCTGCCAATAATAGTTAATACTAAATGTAGCGCACACATTTTTTTAGTGGAAATGTCTAGCATATGTTTTTGAGTTGTAACTAAGCTCCCATTTTATACTTACAAAAGATGATTCGTAAAGAGTTATGATACTATCTCAATTTGCAATTTTTCATTTTTATATCTTTGAGTGCTTTTTAAATTACGTAAAAGTTACGTCCTACTAGAATTTAATCTGCTCAAACAACCATCTTATCTGAAATTTAAGCTCAACCGATGAACTCAACAATGGCCAGCTCTAGCTTGCTATATTTGGCGTTTGCATTTATCAATCACATTTCTCTTTTGGCAGCATGCCAGGATTATTTCTGTACAAGTCCAGCCAATTACACTTCCAATTCAATCCATGAAGCAAATCTTAATACCACGCTATCTTCCTTACACGCCAAGTCTCTCCTCCCCAATGGATTTCACAATGCTAGCACTGGAATGGGTCGTGACAGAGTTTACGGTCTCTTCCAATGCAGAGGAGACATCTCCCCTGACTTTGCCAGAGATGTGTCAAAGCCAGCTCGGAAGCAATTGAAAGACTCTGTGTGAAAAAGAAAGAAGCAATCATATGGCTAGACCATTGCATGTTGAGATACTCGAACCAGTCGATATTCTCTGATATGGAAGATACTCCAAAAGTATAAGTCCATTGCTTGTTCAACCCGCTTTAAGAAGTTTGGTGGAAGGGCTTGTTCTACGGGCTTTGTCCTCTGGTAAGTTATTTGCTACTGGAAAATTTGATAACCTCTCGTTCCTCGGCACAGTATATGGACTAGTCCAGTGCACCTTGGACATAACATCAAAGGAGTGCAGACAATGCCAATCTATACCAATTGAGGACACAACAGCGTGCTGCTATGGACGGCAAGGTGGAAGAATTCTCAAGCCAAGTTGCAGCATAAGGTATGGAAGAGTACCTTTCAACAAGTCCAGGCCTGCTCCACTGGCCGCGCCTTCGAGTTTTGGGATTGGTGAAAATCTCTCAACAGGTTAGTCCTGCTTCTGATAATTGTGTCAAGATTAAAGCCATCTTAAGAATGCTTGTATTTCTAAAGCAAAGTTCTTTTTTTTTTTTTCAGGGAAGGAAGAGATCTCAAAGGGGATATTGGCTATTTTTCTTACTTTCGTCTCTGTGCTTCTTGTATCGGCTTTATTAGGATGCCTATTTGGAGTACAGAGATCTAGGAAGAAAAGCTATCATGCAACAGTGAAGGAAAAAGGTAGGCATCAACTTATCTTGTTATTTCTGTTCTTTTGCAACTTCAATTCTTCTCTAGAAGTGCTTCCACTTTACGGAAATCATTTAGGAGGTGTTTTTGTAGCTGCAACTCAATTTGCAAAAGCGCCATCTTCTTTGAAGTTTGATCTTGACACAATTAAAACTGCCACAAATCATTTTTCTTGCGATAACATGATTGGTGAGGGTGGATTTGGCAGAGTTTACAAGGTAATTAATTGACAACAGGTTTGATTGGATATCTGTTTGAGTTTAGAAGCTAACGAATCACGCCAAAAATCATGATCAGTACAACTAATATTTTCTCATTGAATAAATACAGGGTAAACTTAAGAATGGGCAAGTAATAGCTGTTAAGAGGCTAGCTATTGGCTCTAGACAAGGTGCAGAAGAATTTTTAAATGAAGTCACATTGTTAGCCAAGCTTCAAGACTGCAATCTTGTGAGGCTTTTTGGATTTTGTCTGGAACGAGAGGAGAAAATTCTTATCTACGAATTTGTGCCCAACAAAAGCCTTGACTACTTTCTATTTGGTTAACTTTTTCCACTTATCTCTGTTTTTTTTTTTTATCCAATATATCCAACAATAAACTGTGAAATTCTCTTTTTCCAAAACTTGAATGAAAGCCAAGTAAAACTCCTTTAGTATTTATGTTAGGATCCCCTCTTCCCAGGCTAACACAGACACAGACTCAGAAAGAATTGCTTGAAAATGGGTTTCCTTTTATTAATTCACTCTTCTGTCTCTCCGAAAAGAGAAATTACAGCCATGGAAATAAGTACAAAAGAAAAGCTAGAACAATAAAGAATTCGAGGTTCTCCTTCCTCCCAAGATCTGCTAATAGAATTCTCAATCAACAGACACCGCTCACGTTTCCCCCCTTCCCTAGATATGCTCCCCTTCCCTAGAAAGGTATTTGGAGCTCTATTAATTATTAATTTCCTTGCTCTTAGAGGACATATATTCACAAAAGCAAATGCAATTTTTCCAATAATACTGCTGCTAGTTAATATATATGGACATGCATGACCTCTTTAATTTTCCAGGAAGGAGTAGTAAAACAACAATAACTGTTGTTGCTGCTGTTGTTCCGACTGTTATTGTCGCGATGCTCATTGGCATATGTATTTTCTTAAAGTTGAGGAAGTCAACTGATCAAGAAAAGCTTAGAAGTAAGTTTTTCAAATCCAAAAAATTCCTTCTAGGTTCTAACAATAGAAGGATAAATTGAGAAAAAAGTTTAAAACTAAAGGGTAAATTTGTGTAACTAACCCACTATAAATAAGCAGGTACCAGCTTATTGAAAATATTACTACAACAAAAAAGCTTATTTGCGACGATGGAATGTCGTCGCAAATAAACTATGTTGTCGTCAGTAATATTATATTTACGACGACATGTCGTCGTAAATTAGTCGTCAGAAAAAATTAGACGCAAATAATATATTTACGACGATAAAATTTTGAGATGTCTTAGCGACGACTGTCGTCACGAATGTTCTGTCGTCGTTGATGATAACGTGTTCAGTTGTATCCAAAATATCTATATATGATATCTTTCGGTTGTGTTTTAACACATTTTTTTCTTCTTTTTTTTTTGGCTGTTGTATTTCATTTTGATTCATTTATTACTTAGCCCTTTAAGCTTTGTACTTTTCACCTGCCTTTGGTTGCTTGGTGTTTTTTTACTTAAAGTAGTATTTGTGGCATTGTAAATACGATTATTAACTATTACCTATGCTCCATTAATCTTTATTGTTCATACTGAATCTTTTCACTACTTTTTTCTTTGTGCTATATTCATAAATAGTAGTGACATATGCACTTTTTTTAGTACTTCTTTTATACACTTATATATGTAAAAACACATTTAAGTAATTTAAAAAAATATAAATCCAAACACTACTTGAAATAAAAAGTTATAACCAATCTTTCTCTCTTCTTCTACAGTCTAAAAACAAAAATAAAAATAAATTAAATAATATCAAGAACCATGACCATGACTCATTTATATTATTTTATTAAGGTATGCTCATAGCGTATAATGCATGAAAAGTAAACATACAGTACAACACCCCTCATAAACAGTTCTGGTAATATATCAGACAATTAATTTCTCTTATGGGCGAACATTTTCCATTGGTTTCCAGTACATCTGCGGAACTTTCTCATCAGATTGGGAAAGCTGGAAATCCTTGTTGCAGCCGTTATAGCACCTTGCCATGTGCGCTTCCAATTCATTCATACTTGCAACGTTGTACAGAACAACAGTACGCCTGTTTTGTTCGTTGATTCGAGTTTTTAATTCGAATTGAGATGTAACTTTATGTGAGAGTTTTTTACTGTAACAAAAAAGTTAGATGTTACTATTTCTGAGAGTTTTTTGCTGTAATAAAACTCGAATCGGTGACATGAACGGGACCTATATGTATTTATATATAGTTAAGTATAAATTTAGGTCTCGTTCATTTTACCGATTTGAGTTTTCAATTTTAATTCATTACAGTTAAAAGTTCTCACAAAAAGTCATATCTAATTTTAAATCACATCTCAATTCAAATTAAAAATTTGAATATGCAAAATGAACGAGACCTTAAAAATCTAATTACGAATTGCTTACTAGAAGTAGAAAACTGGGTGCTTAAGGTCTGAGTACAGCTGATAGTACATTTGTAGACAGTGTCAACCAGAGGTCTAACACATGGATCCATACACCCAATCGTGCAGCTGGTGAATTGGTCGTCAGATTTCTCAGCAAATCCCATGCATTTTCGAGCACATCCTTCGCCGCACCGATAAACTTTCGAGTTGCTCGGAGGCATCGCAGGAGTTGGAGTAGTGGAAGAGGAATAAGTTGGGGTAGCCAAAAACAGAGACAAAATCAGGCAGGCTATAGCCAAAAGCTTAGTAGTACTGCTCATACCAACCCCTTCCATTTTCCTCTATGTATGTGTGTGTGTGTGTATATATATATGTATATATATATATATATTTTTTTTTTTTTTCCCCTCAAGAGTACTTGTTACGTTATCTATATGAAGTTTGCAACAATAATTACCACATATCGATCTGATTTATAAGCTTGAGTACGTAGTAGTTGCTCAAACTTTTTTATAAGGTTAACTTAATTAATTAATCCTGTTTGGAATTAAAATGATTTACGGAGTTTGATTTTACTTGTTGATCCAAATAAAAAGGTGGAGTTTCGTTATTTCTTTTGGGCTAGTAAAAATCATTCTGTGGAGGCCAGTAACACATTTCTTCCAAATTTGCCTCCTTCAGTTTATCAACTTGGTTGAAATTGACCACCTTTTGGTCTAAACATCTGAGTGTATTTATATGGAGATTAAATTTTGACTCGTATCAGGGGAGGGTGACCTTTGGCTGGTTAATTAGGCCATTTATTCCCCAGTAGGCTAATTTTTAATTACCTCCCGAGTATAAATTTTTTAATGTATGTACACTATATTTATAATACGGCTAGGCCTTTGCTCCTTGCGAAATTCAACTTGTCTAAATTTTACTTACTGGTACGTAATAAAGGTAGCATTTTTCTTGGGAACACTTATAATAAATTTTCCCACAAAGAGACACTTGAGATTTATGAATAGAAAATGAAGAATAATAAAGAATTAGCTACAAGTTTGGCAAATACAAGTAAGGTCTCGCAAATTATGTAGCCCTTCGGTTATGAAGCAATATAGGCCCCATTTATTCTGTGCTTGCAATTGTGTTGATTTGAACTTTTTTATTTGAATTGTAAAATTTAAAGTATATGGTTTAAATTGCAATCCAAACTAGCGTTTTGATGTGTAGTTAAAGTGTAAATCTAATGAATTCAATATAAATTTATGTCTGGATAGGAACTATAGAGAGCGTGAGAATAAGTATTTTTTCCTGTTGAAAATGGTTTGCAAAGTTGAAAATGGAAGGAGGGGTTAATTAACCTCTGAATTGGGCAGTGCAAAATTCAAACTCAGTTTGTATGGAGAGCAAAATTCAGACTGAGTGCTTACCAAATACGGATTTAAACCTAGTTCACTACTCGGATTAAAAAATTCAATTTAAATTAGTGAACCAAACATGCGTAAATGGCCTTCGATTTCTTTCTTGGTACAGACGATTTTTTTGTGTAAGTATATATAGACGAATTTTATCTTTTTAATAACCCTTGCATATTACATAAAGCTATACTTTTCAACTTCCAATAAAAACCCTTCTATACTCTTTTCCCCACTTGAAAGAGTAACATTATGCACCCTTTTAACTCTAAAACACCATACTATAGTTTTCTAGTGTCACACATTCTTTCCACATTGTGGAGATCAAAATGGACATGAAATCAGTCAAATTTCTCATTACAATGATGATGATAACGATATTCTCATTACTAGTGTCGACATTGGCCCAACAAGCACATGATAATAATATTCATGATGTTGTATTTTCTTCCCCTCGCCTAGTCTCTGGAACCGATGCTTTAAGAGGTGTCAAAGTTGCCTTGTGCATTCATCCGCTAGTTGTTATGTGCTTTAGATATTCACTAACTCAACCACAATTATTCATAACTTGTTCTGCATTAGTTTCCGCATCATGTTGCGCAATATTTCCTCATCAATTAGGCCTCTATGATTGCACTGTTGCATGTGCAGACTCCATCACCGCCATTCATGGATTCGGTAATTACAATTATATATGATATACCAGTGACTTCAAAAAATAATATTGTACCTTCTTTTCATTATTCTTCTTTGTCTTGCTCTCTATTTAGAATTTTTTAGAGACTGTTAAGTATAATAGATAAAGTTAATATATCAAATATGGTGTTTTTTGTATTAAGAAGTTTTATTAGATCTCATTCACATACAACATACTCTATACTCTTTTTTAGTTTTTTTTTTTATATTGTTTTTGGTAGTTGTATACTCTTTTTAAGTTGACATTTGTTTGTGACTCCAATTTTTCACCCAAAAAAAAAAAAGTAGAAAAAAAGTTTTTGAGCCTATAAAATTAAATTTTTTACACCTACTTCGGCAAATTGCTTATTAACACTAATCTTCTCTCTCTTTCCTAATGTTATTAGCTGCGGATGAAGTGGAAAACTATATGGTGACTTGCTGCAACATTTGCGAGAACAATTATTATTAGGTTTATATTAATGGAATTACATGGTTAGAACGTATGTATTGGTCGATCGACAGATCGAAATTACATGTATAGAGTATGCCGAATAACAAGAGTAACTTTATGGTAGCAGACAACGTACTCGAGGAAGAGTGTCAAAGGATTTTCCGTGAGCATTTAGGCAAGACGCGTAAGTTTTAACTTTGGATGATGAAGATGTTATGTTGACGTGGTCAAGTACAATGTTGGTGCATCCGACATCTTTGTCGCAGCTCAAATTGATCGTGTCCTCCGTCATCGATGTCCTGTAAACTCCGGTGTACGTGATATCGCTTACTTTCACCGCGGATGTACTCTTCATGTCCATTGTAATTTGTTCATCAATCAAAATCAACCATGATCAAAGTAAGTAAT